ATGTATGCTGCTACTAAAGTATGAAGAGTATTTGAAATAGTGTGTCATATTGTATGAAAATCAGCTTAATAATTTGGATACCTCGTTGGTCGCAAGTGCGACTGCCGGGCAAGAGGTCTCGATTCACGGGTCGGGCAAAGTAATAGCTAGTTTTTAAAAATAATTCTCAGTAGTAGCACGGAGTCTGGAATTGTGCCCGGTATATGGCAATAGGCCCACCCCCTATTTTTACATATTACATGGAACTCAAAACATAAATAGTGAAAAGTGGGTGTTACATTGTACAGTGGCATAATGTGCACTTTTCCTACCCCTTTAGGGATAAAAGGCATTATCAGCTTAATTTACCTAGTACTGTGGAAATTTGTTAGATGTCCGTTTGAATTAAAAAGAAATACATTTTTAAGACGACGCACATTTCGATTGCTACTCGTGAAATGAATACAGTAAACTGATAGATCTAGATTTAGACTAGTTAGTATTTAGAACGATATTAAGACCTAGCCAAAATCCCACACACTTACTTTAATGTGTACGTGCATACCATCGCCTATCTCCCATCAGGATAGGCAAGGAATATGGTATAAAACCATGTATATAATACTTACTCGTCAGGTAAGTGTGCTTTTGGATCAATAATATTATGTACTTGTGTCGTTATGTCGTGGTGGCCCGGAGGTTTAAGACGCCCGCTTGGCATGCCTGAGGGGACAGGTTCGAAACCTACCAACGGCAAGTAGCAATGTGACTTTTTCCGAGTTATATGTACTTTCTAAGATTATTCAGACACCATTGACAAATGGTGAAGAAAAACATCGTAGGGAAACCTGGGCTTATAATTTCTAATTATAAGTTTGTAATCGCCAACCCGCATTGAGGAAGCGTGGGTGATAAATGCTCAAACCTTCTCCATGTGAGAAGAGGCTTTGCTCAGCATTTATACGCTGTTAATGATGTATTTCTGACAAACTTGAGGGTTTGGTCATGTGGAGAATACCTTTGGATGCAGAGATCGACGGCGTAAAACATCAGTAGATTTAGTAGTAAAGTAACAGAATTTTGTGTATGTATTTACTGTGTAACAAAAAAACTAATATTTTCGAATATACCTATATTTTAATATTTACTACATATGTTAATACCATTTCGAATATATTTTTTTATTCTCAACATTTTTTTGCCCCAAAATCTATTTTATCTAACCTTTAACAGTATTTTTGGTTTTTCCACCTCGTATTTTAATTTCATCATGAGGATTAACTAACTAATTAACTTTGCAATAATGTGGCATAATTTGCTACTTCATCGCCGGTGATATACTCATTGGATTGTAAAGAAAACATAACGCAGTTAAGTAGAATGAAGATAACCGCCATCTATCGACGATGCCGTGAACTAAATTCATAAACTCGTAAGAAAATGTGGTAAGGGTTTGTTATTTAGATTGCTAGTCTTTAAAGTCTTCATATTTCTTTTCTTATTAATAGAAAAAAGAACTATACCTTTTCTGCGTGAGTAGTTTAATGTATATATTAAACTTCGCCTTTACTAAGGTGGCGGTTAGCCGCTAGTATCGCTGTCGGGTCAGAGTTTCAGTCCTTGTATATTACCTAATTACTAACAATACGTAAACGCACTGAGTAACATTTACTTAGTTAGTTTTTGGATACAGAGAAAAGTGTATTAAATAAATTACAAACGTCTATACGATTCCCGACGCTCTTCCCTAAGGAAGAGCGCTATTTAATTTACCTTTTATGCTAACCCTTTCAGAAAACAAAGTTATGAGTATGTATCCATTACATTTAGATTAAAGTTGTCTTAGAGCCTCTTCGCAGTGGGCTTCGGTATATCGTACGCCTCCCAAATGACCGGGACCCTGTGGTCGCGTAAATGATAAAAATACATTCTATGCAACCACTACTTAGGGCTGATGCCGATTCGGAGTCGCGTAGAACCTAACGGGTTACCGGGGCTCCGGCTCGACGTGCAGAAGAAGGAACGAGGTGGTTTTTAGTCAGTAAGAGTCTGACACTTCCTCCCGCCTCAACTAGGCGGGAACACTCATTGGATGATTTTCCCCCCTAAAAAAAATTTTACCACTACTTCCGAATATTCAGTAAAATCAATTGCTGACTACTTACAGACAAATCGGTATACAATAAATATCTTACTTTAAAAAGTAAAAAATGCACACAAATAAGTCATTATTGCTTTGAAGCCCAAGTTAAGAGCACTTGAATATTCAGAGACAGGCATGTTGTCTGTTGATCAAACATCAAAACAAAATAAAAAGTATTAAAACAATGGTACTTTACGTATTCTGATGTAGAAGTGTTATGTTGCGAGAAAATAATGATACCGAACCGATGATCGATTTTGACTGTACGTTTGGCGAGATGACTGGGCAACTGGCTGCCGTCGTGCAACATGTTGCGGGTATGATTCCTGCACAGAGTAACTCTTTATGTGATCTACAAATTGTTTATTCTGGGTGTCATGTGTATTTGAAATGTTATGTCTTAAACGCAACCAGGACACAGGAGAAAATACAAGTGTGTGTGGGGCACAGGGCCGGATTTAGGGGTCCAGAGGCCTCGGGGCAACAAAGGAGTGGAGGCCCCCTTGCCCCAAATTATTTTCCAGATTGAGATCGAGGGCACTCGCTTTATTTCGAGGACGCTCGAAAACGATCGAGGATGCTCGATAGATTTCGAGGACGCTCGAAAACAATGGAGGACGCTCGAAAACGATCGAGGACGCTCAATTGATTTCGAGGACGCTCGATAGATTTCGAGGACGCCGGATAGATTTCGAGGACGCTTGAAAACGATCGAGGACTCTCGATAGACTTCGAGGACGCTCGAAAACGATCGAGGACGCCATATAGATTTCGAGGACGCTCAAAAACAATCGAGGACGCTCGAAAACGATCGAGGACGCTCGAAAACGATCGAGAACTCTCGATAGATTTCGAGGACGCTCGAAAACAATCGAGGACGCTCGATTGATTTCGAGGACGCTCGATAGATTTCGAGGACGCCCGATAGATTTCGAGGACGCTCGAAAACGATCGAGGACTCTCGATAGATTTCGAGGACGCTCGAAAACAATCGAGGACGCTCGAAAACAATTGAGGATGCTCGAAAACAATCGAGGACGCTCGATAGATTTCGAGGACGCTCGAAAACAATCAAGGACGCTCGATTGATTTCGAGGACGCTCGATAGATTTCGAGGACGCCCGATAGATTTCGAGGACGCTCGAAAACGATCGAGGACTCTCGATAGATTTCGAGGACGCTCGAAAACAATCGAGGATGCTCGAAAACGATCGAGGATGCTCGATAGATTTCGAGGACGCTCGAAAACAATCGAGGACGCTCGATTGATTTCGAGGACGCTCGAAAACAATCGAGGATGCTCGATAGATTTCGAGGACGCCCGATAGATTTCGAGGACGCTCGAAAACAATCGAGGATGCTCGAAAACGATCGAGGATGCTCGAAAACAATCGAGGATGCTCGATTGATTTCGAGGACGCTTGATAGATTTCGAGGACGCTCGATAGATTTCGAGGACGCTCGATAGATTTCGAGGACGCTCGATAGATTTCGAGGACGCTCGAAAACAATCGAGGACGCTCGATAGATTTCGAGGACGCTCGATTGATTTCGTAAACAATCGAGGACGCTCGATAGATTTCGAGGACGCCCGCTAGATTTCGAGGACGCTTGATAGATTTCGAGGACGCCCGATAGATTTCGAGGACGCTCGAAAATGATCGAGGACTCTCGATAGATTTCGAGGACGCTCGAAAACAATCGAGGACGCTCGAAAACGATCGAGGATGCTCGATAGATTTCGAGGACGCTCGATTGATTTCGAGGACGCTCGAAAACAATCGAGGATGCTCGATAGAAATCGAGGACGCTCGATAGATTTCGAGGACGCTCGAAACCAATCGAGGACGCTCGAAAACAATCGAGGATGCTCGATGGATTAATTTTTTTAATGGTCGAGACACGGAATCGAATAGCCAACCTCCGAGCCACTGAGCCATTGAGCCATTGGGGTACTCCCTCAAGATGGGTAGTAAATTGGAAGTGCTTATCAGAGCCATTTGAGATTTTGATATTTCACTGATTGCCTGATTGGAGTGAACAAATATAGATCAATGATTTCTGTTTCTGTTAATATTTAAAATTAATATAATCATGTATGTATAAAGTACTTTAGGCTGTAGGTAAAGGTAAAAGCGAAAAAAAAAAATATCAAAGTAAAGATTTTTACTAGGTTTACTAGTTGAAATTTGAAAGATTTTTTTTCCGAAGTCTCTATTGTGGAGGCCCCCTGCTTGTGGAGGCCCCGGGGCTTTCGCCCCGGTTGCCCCCCCCCCCCTAAATCCGGCCCTGGTGGGGCAGAGTTTATAAAAATAGGACCAAAATTCAATCAGAAATTAGAGCCAAATGAAAATAATACATACGTAACAACGCATTTATTTGTGCACATCTTTACCGTTTTCTCGTGAGATAGATACTCCTACGAGCTCATAGAATGCGCTATGAGAGTAATTAACTTAGTCAAACATTCCATGGAGTTGATTCGCCTTATCCAGTAATTAATGGCTACTTTCCAATCAGTGAAAATGTAAATAAGGCTTAAGCTTTCTACTTTGATAAGCCTAACCCGTTGGAGTTTGTGGCATCTTCGGTAACATTATGTGGACAGACCTTGTCTTCTATTCCTTTTCTAATTAACTTTCATCTGCACCTTTTCTCCTCATAGTGTTCAAATTCGTTAGAAACTTGAGTAAACTTTTAATTGCTCAATAGGTGAAAATCTTTTTCTATAAATGATATTTCGATGCATGGTCATAAAATACTGTTCTTGATGGATGTAGGCACTATCACCAATTGTCTAAAAAGTTACATAACATCATAACATCTCGCCTTTTATCCCCGAAGGGGTAGGCAGAGGTGGCATTTAATGCCACTGTACAATGTTACACCCACTTTTCACTATTTGTGTTATGACTCCCATATAATAGGGGGTAAACCTATTGCCTTACACTACGCTACATGCCACAATTCCAGACTCCGTGCTACTACTGAGAAATTTTAAAAACCCGTAATACTTTGCCAGACCGCTTGCCTAGCAGTTGCACTTGCGACTACTCAGCCAACGAGGCAGTCTTTAAATTTTAATGACGGTCTATCATTTAGATGCATATTTAAAAAAAAACTTTGTTTTGCTTTAATTAGCTTCTTGATCACATCATTAATGAGGTAAAATAGCGACCCACCCCTGCTTTGCACGTTTTGATTCCTAACTCTCGGTGAACCTAGGAACAATCACAACTGAGGCCTTGGCTTTGATTGGTTGGTTCATTGGAGCCGGCTAATCAGAACGCCGAACGTAGTCTCTTTTCGATTACTTTGAACGTAAGCAAACTAGTACTAGTACCTAGTACGTAAGGTCTCAGAAAAAAATTGATTGACGTCCCTAACAAGTCGATAGTTAAATTTCACTTTGTATGGCCAAACAAAGTTTCTCGCTTAGCAACAACGGACTATTTCCCAATTTACCTGACGAGTCTCCAAAACAGCCTCCTCTCTTAACGACCACAGAAAAGTGACTTATAGGTACATAAAAACTGATACTATGAACAAGGGAAGTTGGTATTCATAAGATAATAAAGATAAAGATTATTTATTTGCAAAAAACACGTGTGAAATCAACACGTGTGCATATTATACATAGGTAGTACAGATGAACAGTGAGCATAGTATCAACATGTTTGACCATTACTGTTGTACAAAATATAGGGGTATTAATAGACGAGATCGTCGTCAATCATGTCTTCGATAGTACTATAGATATGATTCTCTGTTAAATTCTAGAAGTGTCATATTGTTCGGTATTTGTTTGTCAAGGGTTGATGATTTCATTGGGATGGTCTGTTTCGGTAGGAATATAAAATTATCTGATGGATTACAATAATCTAATTACTTGCAATAACAATAAGTTATATTATGTACAGTCAATAATACCAGACTTTAGATGACGATTTGACTTATAGTATTATCATCTTATTCTAAGTTTTCAAACATAGTTAGTTGACTTATAAGATTCACTGGCCGAAATAAAAACCCATGTTACTTTTGAAGTTTTATTGCTTTTTTTGTTTCTTTAACATAAATAGCATTTATTTTTAATTAATAAAAGTTACAGTTACAAACGTACAATATGCATTGCACCATTAATAAATAATAATATAAAATAATTCTTTTATTTTAAACTACTGCACCTAAATTACGGTACATAACGATATTGTATTCTATAGCGCCGGTGACCTTATATTAGAAAAATATTGAAAAAAAAAGCTTAAAGTTTTTGGTTCCTTTATTTGGTTGAATTAGCGTTACATTAATACGTCCGTTGGGACGAGCGGTCGGCGTTTGGCCGGAGTAGTGCGGAGACACGGCAACGTTAGGGCGAGCCGCAGCGCCGAGCGCCCGTCCCGACTCACCGCTAGCTGCATAGGGGGCGCCACCGAGCACGGACTATGCCGCACCCGCTGGCGCCATCTACCGCTTTTACATCACTTAACGAACGACTAGGCTTATTATACCCGACCGGAATTGCGCCCCGATATCGACTGATGGAGAGAAATGCTGGTGTTCTGGGGCTTTGGGTAGGGCGCTCACATACGCTCTGAGCTGATGGCACGAGACTCCTGCACCAGGTAGACCTGGGAGCCGGGCACGGTGGAGGTGGTGACGAAGGTGCGGTGCTTGGCGCGGATCAGGGACAGATTGCTCTCGGCGCAGTCGGCACGGTCCTCGGCGGCTTCCAGCTCGCGTTGGAATCGTCGTACTCGTGTCACGTTCTGCTGGGACATACCCTCCTGTGGGAAGAAAGTAACAATATTTAGAACATGTCTATAGTTAAAGTACCTATATTCAATTTTTTTTTAATCTTCTTCTAGTAGTTGGATGTTAAAAATACAATTTTACTACTCAAAGTTTCATTTCTTTATTCAAAGACCTCATACCTGTTCCGTCAGTTGCCTCTTGTAGATGTTGACCTTCTGGGAGGTCTTTTCAAGAGAGTCTTGGAGGAGAGCAATGTTCTTCTGGTCCTCCTCGCACTGAATCATGACCTCCTTGAGCTGACGCTCCTTCTTGCGGAGGATCTTGATGGTCTCAGCGTGCCTCCTCTTCTCCTCATCCATTTCCAGTTCCATGTCCTTGATGCGGGCTTCAAGTTTGCTGATGATACGCTTACCACCAACAATGGCGTTGGCCTCAACCTCTTCCAGGCGGACAGAGATGTTCTAGAACGAAAAAGAAAAATTAATAGTAGACAAACATTTGTGTTACTTTTTTGTAAAGAAACGTTTTTGTAGATATTTTCAAAGTCCCATGTATTGTTCGAATAATTCAAAGCTTACCTTGACTTCGATCTCGAGGGACTTCTTGACAGCTTCGATCTTGACAATCCTTTCCTGCTCTTCGTGCAAGTGCTCAACGGTGTGTTTGAGTTCAGTCTAAAAAAAATAAGTTTAGGTTATGATTGCCCTGCATTCATAGTATTTTTGTGACTTGTGTTTAAGTCGCAATTCAATACGTTAATTAAAGTGAAATAAATTCGAAATTAATAATTCACTACCAGGTCTTTGCCTGGTTTCACTTTTAGTAAAGGCCTATTTGTAATCGCAAGATTGCCTTTCCTTTTTATTAAAATATTCTATTAAAAATAATATCCTACCTGGACGCGCTGGTATCTCTCGTCAGCAATGCGCAGCTCCTTGGTGATCTCGTCGTAGTCAGCGGCGACGGCAGCGAGCTCCTGCTCGATCTTGGCCTTGCTGCTAGACAGGTTGACGTTGATGACGGTGAGCTCATTGATGCGGGTGACCGCCTCCTCGTACGACTGCTCGGCGGTGCGCTTGGCGCGAAGGGCCTGAACAAATTACATTTATTAGGATCTGAGTCATTCTACTACTTTTACAATTCTGGTGGATCAAGCCAAGTCATGTTTCAATATTGGCATCGATGTTGCTATTATTGTTTTGATAGTACTACTTACATTATTGACATTGCTATATTATGTAATAAATAGATGATACTATCCCTAGTCATGCCAGTTATGCTATGTGGACAATTGCTGCATTATCGTTTCTTCTATGATTTAATAAGTTTTAATGCTCCCAAACTGACCTGCTCGTAGTTGCCACGGATCTCTTCAACCTCGCCGGTGAGAGACTGTATCCTGCGCTGGGCAACACCGTACTGGTCGAGTGTCACCTGCAACTGCCTCTGGACCTCGTCGTAGTGGGTCTGGATCTCGGTAAGCTAGAAAATGTCACCAATAATGCTTAGTGTGATGTTCATCGTAGAATAGGTATAACGAATATTTGAGTGAAAAAATTTCGATAAGTTTGATTCATAAGCACTATTCAGAAAATGCATAAGTATTGATTATTTTCACTCTTACACTTTTAATCATAAAGTAGCCCTGTAAATTGAACTAAATATTAATGCTGTACTAAAACAAAAGAGCTTACCTGCAGAGACTGCTTCTTGACGACCTTCTGGAGGTCAATGTTGGTCTTGTTGGCGACATCAAGAGAGAGCTCCAACTCAGTGATCTGGATCTGGAGCTTCTTCTTGATGCGGGTGACCTCAGACTTCAGCTTGGTCTCAGCTTCAACCACGCGAGCGTTCAACTGCTCGATCTCGATGCTGGTCTGCTTGCTGTTGACAAAACAAAACTAATTCAAATACTGGTTTCATTCTTAAAGTTACATCAACACATTTAATTAACATAATAAGTCACCTCGAGTCAATCAACAAACATGTGTTAAGTTCGTCAAATTGCTTTATCGTTTGTTTTAATTCGTTTAAAGGTTGCAAATACGAGTCATCTACTTTACACTCAATTGCCGGAACTTCCCTAATCCTTGCGACGCACGTCGTCGGTGACGTTTCTCGTATAGCTCTGTGTATTGTTTCAGTCATCTTTTCTGAAATTTCATTAGCCGCTGCGCCTGAAATTTTCGATTGTACCACAGCCTTAGACAACACATTTTGAGTTATTTGTGACAAGTTTTTATCAATGACGCTCCTTTTGCCACGATATTCAATTCTAGTTGGTTTACTCTCAGCCACATTTTGCCTGCTCTCTTGTAATAAGGTTTGGGCTATTGCTTTTGCCGATTTGCCTCTATACATTTTAGCTTTACCTCTCAATTCCGCACCCACATTTACTTCTTTTTCATAAAGCTCCAATTCCTTTTCAATCTCATTCATTCTCTTTTTTTGTCTTTCGATTTTATATTTTTCTCTTTCCTCTTTCTTCTTCCTGGTTTTAGAAGTCACGCTTTCTGTTCCAATGTGCTTCACAACGTTTGCCGCATCTGCGGTAGCGATCACTGAGAAAGGAGACCGTTTGGTCACATTAAATGTATTGAGGTCCCGCTTAGCTTGATCGGCGATTTCGTGGGAAAGTCTCGTAGCATCTTCTTCAGAGTAAGTTCGTATTGGTTTATCGAACCTGTACTTGTCCAATCCTCTTTCATTGTTCCATGGTAAATGAGGTGGCTTGGCTGCTACTCCTTGTCCTTTCGCACTGATGTAATCGATCATTGGTTGATAAAAATTAATACCGTAGCCATAATTATCTTCATATATTGCGGTGGGTGGTCTGTTCCATTTATTATAGTTCGGCACTTTAACTGGCGGCATGATGAAATATATACGAGTTGCGTCTATTCACTACGATCAAGACGCGATCACCGCGATGTGCGCCGCCCGGAGACGATGTTGCGTAATTGGAGGCGCGAGAAAATGAACATCGTCTTTTGTACATTTTCAGTCGTACTTATTGCCAAAGCTCGTATGTGATCACCGGTAATAAGCACCAATCAGATGCGCGGTTATATATAAACGAAATTCGTGCCAATTATTCGAAATATATTTACTTATTCATAACTGCATTTGGTTGGAATCGTTTGGGTCGGAAGTGCGTT